TAACCATACCCAGAAATCAGAAATTGGATGGCATGGATGATGATGGATGTTGTTCAGTGATACATCTTTACACTTGAGGATCTTCTCTAGTTTCTTCTTGCCCTTCAAAGTCCTAATTTTCTTCTGTTTTAATGGTACAACCTTGGAATAAATTATGATCCTCTGCACCTGGGTTGACATTTCATGCTCATGGATTTCAGAGACATCTGAAAGACCTTATTTATTTAGGTATTCATATGCCATTTACAATCCAACAGAAAATGACCCACACAACCATTTTATGCAATCCATGCATGCAAAAAATGCATAATATCATATAGACATTAAAAATCAACCTGAGTGAGAAGAAAAGCAAAATAAAAAGCACTACCTTGTGTTATAGTTGCATGTGTACATTTGTTGGGGGATAATGAAAAGTGTACACGGAGAGTGAAAAGATATGCAGAAAGTTCCACAATGGTTACATTATTAACCATTGGGGGGGGGGAGGAGAGCCATCATGGCCTAGTGGTTTGAGTGTTGGACTATGAATCTGGAGACCAGGGTTCAATTCTCAGCTCAGCCATAAAACCCATTGGTGACCTTGGGCAAGTCACATCCTCTCAGCCTCAGGGGAAGCCAATGCAAACCTCCTCTGAATAAATCTTACCAAAGCCTGTGATAGAGTTACCATAAGTTGGAAAGGACTTGAATGCACACAGCAACAAACAAATGAATTTATTCCTAGTAGCCTTCCTTCAGAATGTGTAAAGAGTTTAGAAATGATGCCAAATTTTCACCTTATGAAAAATGTGATGAGAATATGAGGCACCAGTCCTAGGCAAGAGATCTGTAAAATGTTGCATTAAGTCCAAAGAGTTTTTAATAACGTGGGTGAAATGTCTCATAATATCCATTTATGCATATAGGGTTGCCCTCCTTACACCTTATAGTTATCCTGACACCTTAAAGTTGTTTTTTAAAAAAAAAAAATTCAGTATGAATCTAGTCTTGCACTATCACCTCAAATCCAACCAAAATCTTTTATAAATGCCCCAGGGCTTGTTAATGGTCGTCTATATTAAACCCCCTTTTAGGAGGAGGAGGAAGAGGAGGTTTTGCAGAGCACACCTTTGAGCTGAGATTTGAGAAAAAGGCCACAGTTTTTCCCCAAATTTGGGGCCTGCTGTTTCCAAAATCCTGCCCTCATTCTCTAATAGTTTCTCCCAGACCTGATGCTGTGACACCGTCTTAATTTTCTAAGAACCGGAATCAAGAAATTGTCAGAAAGGCTCAGCATTTAGGATACCAAGGGAAATGGTTGCCCTGACAACCACAAGCACATAAAAAAAATTATTCAGAACAGACCCCATTTCGTCTCTGTTTTAAGCTGCTGCTGATAGGAGAATCAAGTTTAATTCAAGCCTTTTTATTGTTATTTTATTTAAGGTGAACAGCAGGGCAGCACTCTCCATTTGTGCCTGTTGTCTCCTGCCATCTAGAGGATCAGAATTGTTGCAGCAGGGACAACAAATGCTTGGAGCCAAGGTCCTCAAAACCTTGGGTGAAAAATGCAAGAGATTACTAAAGGGCAACATACACCACTTTGGTTATTCAGACGGTGAAAATAATACAGGTAGATCCAGGTAGAATTTGGGTTGAATCTTTGTTGTTCACATGCATTTCAAATGTATCCAATTCAGGATTTTTTTTGGGGGGGAAGCTACTAAAAAACTTCACTTAACCCAGGATAATCGATGTCAGGGGTGTTTTGTCAAGTTTTTCTGAAAGAATCAGATTCTCGGCTGTGTGAATAATTAATGCAAATAGACCCGGGATAAAATTCTGCATGCCTTGAAGTGCTTCAAATATATTTGCATCATTAACTCCGTTTTTATTTGAGTGTTGGCTTCTGTGAGCAACAGAACTCATAGAGATTCAGATAGATGAGGTTCCATAGTGTGAACAACAAACCCACAGTGTTTCAGGCTTGACAATTCATCTTTTGAATATGTTGCATGGGTCTCCTACATTCTCATTTTTCAGAAACCAAATGTTGGCCATTTCTGTGATTTGGTATGTTGGGTTGTTTGTATAAAGTATTGTTGGTTGTTTGTGCAGCCCCCAGAGGGTTGCAAGGGGAGGAATTCTCCCAAATCCCAAGCCCAACCCTGAATTTTATATGATTTTGAAAGGTAATGGATAAAATAATTCTTTCTTACCTTTCCACTCCTGAAATGGTTATATGACCGAACTGAGAAATGAACCCTGGTCTCCAGAGTCATAGTCCAACACTCAAACCACTACACCAAGGTTGGCTCCCTGAAATGACCATTAATTGAATATTAATAGGTAGTCCTAGAAGGTTTTGTGGAGGAGTATGGAGACCTTGTGGTACTGCAAAGCTCCTAGACTTCCCAGTTGTTGTTGCTGCTTTTTTTTAAAAAATAAACCAAATTGGATAATATTTTTTTTTGCCAAAACTTGATAAAAACCACCATCAAACACAGTAGTTTTTGCCCAACTCCCCCTCCCCAAAGTCTACACAATAAATATGACAATGCTCCCACCCCGAATCAGCTGAAAACTGGATTGGAAGCTATGTTACCTCACATCTGGTCACACTGAGAGCACCAATGTGCAAGAGCTGTAGGGGTTAAAAGTGCCCCTTGTGTGGTTGCCAGCTCCCTAGAATCATAAAGCTGGTCAAGTGCAAAAACAGAGCAGGAACAGGAAATCTTAATTCTTTCTGAGATACAGCTAAGTTCAGTGTCACTGAATGACTAAACTGTATAATAGCACTACCTGCATGACTAGAACCAGCCCCTTTCATCTCCACTTGACTTTCAGGGCACAGGGCACATCAGCCACAGGTGAAAAGGTAGAATTGTACTACTTCAGATTGCAGGTGGACAATATTGTGATGTAATTATTTTCCCAATTAGAAAGAAAAACCTCAACTTTTGACCTGCAGCAAATGAGAGGTGTCTAACCTAGCCTTCTCTTCTGGTGCACTAATAATAATAATAATAATAATAATAATAATATATTTCTATCCTGCCCCTCTGCAAAGCAATCGGGGTGGCTTACAATCATAAAACATCGCAACAATAAAACATCAATATCAACATCCTAACCCACCCATCCCTTAAAAAAGTATTAAACTAATCAATTTTAAAAACATAGTAAAACAGTAACAAAAGAGGAAATATATCCAACACAATTTCGTGGCAGATTGGTTATTCGGTGGCAGCCTGAGAAAGGGGGGAATTATTTAAGACTTTAGGCTGGGAAAGTCATTCTGGAAAGGCCTGCCAGAAGAGATCCATCTTGACAGCTTCTTAAAAGTTGTCTAGAGTAGTAATAAGATGGATCTCGTCCAGCAGGCTGTTCCATAATCTGGGAGCGGTAGCAGAGAAGGCCCTCTGGGAGGTTATCATCAACCTAGTTCTCAACGGCTGTAGCAGATTTCTCCCAGAGGACTTGAGTGCATGGGGGGGGGATCATACAGAAGGAGGCAGTCTGGAGATAAGTTGGACCCAAGCCATGGAGGGCTTTAAAGGTCAAAACCAGCACCTTGTACTGTGCCCAGAAACTAATGGGCAGCCAGTGGAGAGTTTTTAACACAAGTGTTACATGTTTCCTTCTGGAAATACCAGAAACCAATTTGACTGCCATGTTTTGAACTAATTGCAGTTTCCGAGTTAAGCACAAGGGTAGCTCCATGTAGAGCACATTGCAGAAATCCAGATGAGAGGTTACCAGCGCACTAATGTTCAGGGGTTTCCCCACCACCTCATAGAGATGCAGTTCTGAGATTTACTATGGGGGAAGCACATGGGCAGCATGGGGCCACGCCGGGAAGCTGCGGATCAGGGCTGAGGCATCCGCATTCCTCGGCCCCACGGCGCAGCATCTCTGCTCCAGGAAGGAGAGCTAAAATAGCACTCCTTCCACAAGACGCTGAAGGTGTGCCACAATAGGTGTCCGGCACACCTTCGGTGCCTCTTCTGCTGCAGTGTGTGCAGACGCTGCAGCGGAAGTGTGTCATTAGAGTACTGGCTGTGCAGAGGGCCAGCCGCTCTGACAACGTTTTGGGGAAGGGGTTGGGGAGCCCACGTGAAACTGCCCCTCCCCTTCCTGGCCTCAAAGACAGCGCTTTGAGCCATCTGCTTAGGCCTTATGTCAATTCTGAAATGGTGCAGCTCAGGAAGACTTTTTTACTTATCAGTTGTTGGACTGAAAGAGCTCTCAGAAGTTAGATCTGTTATACCACTACTAAAGCCAGAGTGTAAAAGGATTACTTTTTGGACTACAACTTTCAGAACCTTTCATTGATGGCTACTGACCATGCTGGCTGGAGATTCAGAGAGTTAGATGGTGCCAAAGGTATTTTTCTCCAAGTTCTTTATCTGACCCATTGAGGGCCTACAAAAAGAGATTGCCATTCCCACACTTGATGGGGCAAGCTATTTAGCATCTTTTGCTCTGTCTATTGGATGTTTGTGTATCAGAACTTGGTGTGTGGGGGGGGGGCAGAAGCAAGTGATAGTACATATGGAACTCATGGAATAAATTTCACAGACTGAAGCACCAAGTCAGATGGAGAAATTTTAAAACAGCAGTCATATGATCAGTGATTCCAACTGAGTTGGCAGCTGCAGTATCATCATCTGGCCATTGGCAGTAGGGAATACAATGATTGTATTCTTCAGCAGATTGCCATAATTTAAATCTAATTCAAGATCTCTAGTTTCTTTGATTTTGTCTTCAAATTTTGTTGATGCAGCACAAAATAATTATAAATATTTCCTTTGGTCACACAACTATCATGGATGAAAATATGGTTGCCATCTACATTGTTATCATTGTTGTGTGCCTTCAAGTAATTTTGACTTATAGCATCCCCAAGGCAAAACTATCATGGGATTTTCTTGCTAAGATTTGTTCAAAGGAGATTTGCAATTGCCTTCCCCTGAGGCTGAGAGCATGTGACTTGCCCAAGGTCACCCAGTGGACTTCATGGCCAAGCAGGAATCGAACCCTGATCTCTAGAGTCACAGTCCAATGCTCAAACCACTGCACCATCGACATTACTTTTTTCCTTACAGTACAAGGTGTTGGTTTTAACCTTTAAAGCCCTACATGGCTTGGGTTCATCTTATCTTAGGGACTGCTTCTCCCCATATGACCTCCCACATGCACTTTGGTCCTCAGGGAGGAATCTGCTACAGCCCATGAAGACCAGGCTTTCACAGACCTCCTAGAGGGCTTTTTCTGCGACTGCTCCCAGACTATGGAATGGACTGCCAGACAAGGTCCGTCTTATTACCACTCTTGCTGCTTTTAATTAAGCAGTAAAGACGGACCTCTTCCGGCAGGCCTTCCCTGAATAACTTCCCGGCACAATGGAGGCTTATTACCTCCCCTAAACTTTAACTTTAATCTTAATCTTAACCTAACCTTAATTTGCCCTACTTGCCATTGGATGTATGTTGTCAAACACTTGTTTATTTGTTTTGTGTGTTTAAATTTATTTTAATTCCATTTGAGTTTAATTCAGTTTTAAGAGGTGGCAGGGTTAGGGTGTGAGATTTAGGAATGTTTTAACTGTTCTTTGTTTTAACAATGTTGTACTCCACCTCGATTGCAATGCAGAGGGGTGGGTTATAAATAATTTATTATTATTATTATTATTATTATTATTATTATTATTATTATTATTATTCCTTTCTTCTCCTCCCACATCTTAATTTTTCATGATGAAAGGGGCCGTTGAAAAAGTTGTCAACCACAGCAATCTTTTTCATCCTTGAATACAAGCAGAGTGACAAATACATCCCCTTGTGGGGTTTGTTTTACATGAAAACCATTTCATTTTTTGCAAAACACAATAAATGAGATCATGGAACATGCTTGTGGGGGTTATTCCTATACTAACATAGTTAAAGGGTAGTGGCACCACACTACCCTTCTGCTGAGCAACCAGTTTTGTGCCTGCCAATGTATTTGCTGTTTCTTCAGTCCCAGTAAAAGAAGTGGCCCTTTGAAGGTACTGGTGAATAGGTACACACCATCTAAGAATCTGAAACTGCCTATGCAACAGTTGCACTTTGAGACCTTCAGTTATGAAACTGTGAACTGAATACAGATGTTACACCTCGACCAAATGAGCACAAAACCTACTTTTAAAAATTGCATATGTGTAAAGCACCAGCAGGATGTCAACCAGTGTTTTCTCAGCAAAATTCTTCTTGTTGTTCACAAAACCAAAAGCAAATTAAATTTTTACATAGAAGTTTCAAAATATTATGATGCATAGATGGTATTTAACACCAGACAGAATAGTGAAAATGTATAAGAATAATTCAAACAAATGTTGGAAATGTAAATGGAAGGGTTCCCCCCCCCCCCCATATGTGGTAAACCTGTGATAAAGCATTGGACTCAAATTCATATAATAATAATAATAATAATAATAATAATAATAATAATAATAATAATAATAATAATAATAATAATAATTTGTATTTATATCCCGCCCCTCTGCCAGGCAATTGGGGCGGCGTACAACATTTCAAAACATCAGGACAAATAAAATCAATTCAAGTCCCATCCCTCATTCCCACACCCACCCATCCCCCAAGAACAAATCAAACTAAACAGATTAAATGACAATAATTAAAAATATACAATTTAAAAGATACACAATTTTTCAATGTTAATATACAGTGGCGTTAATTCAGGCGGAGGAAGGGCAAAGGACAGATTTATCTTCTTCTCCTGGATGGTAAGGCTACTGGCCCACTCCATGGGGGGGGGGCTCTAGGATTAAATTGAAGGCTTCTCTCCAGTCAGTGGAGGAAATGTACCAATTTCAAAGCCTTCATTCCTTCCCCTCCTGCCCCTACTACTGCAGCCACTGCTGTATTGCTGCTAAGGGAGAATGTTGGTCCCTGGTGGCCCTAGTGCCTTCACCTCGGCCCTGGTCTCTCTGGCCATGCTATAGCCAGTGGAGGAGGTGGTGGAGAAGCAGCCTTTTAAAGGGGCTGCTGGGCCTCCGCGTCTAATGACAGAAGACATTTGTAAAGTCATGATACAATTGAATCCTGACATGTTTTCTGCTTGGAATGTTGACTGACCAAACTGAGAAGAAATATTTTTTAAAAAAATACAATACATGATCACAACTGGAAGAAGAAATATTTTAAAAAATACAATACATGATCACAACTGGAAAAACAATATATGCTCAGTGATGGAAGGACACTGATGTCTGAACACAAGAAGATTGGCTGATAAAGACAACTAAATTTGCTGAAATGGACACAATGATCATGCCGATCAAAGAGAAAACTTTAAATAAATTTTTAAAAGATTGGGAATTGTTTATTACATATATCCTGTCTAATTGGGGGTATGAGTCAGTTTTAGGTTTTGTAAAATAAACAGAGTTTTCATGTTGTAGAGGCATAAATGTATTATTACATACAAGGACGTTTCGTAATAATGGTAGATATCCATCAGTTAGCAAAAAGCAAGTCATTAGTATATGTTTGTTTTAGTAATATAGGCAAGTTTGTTTTTGTTATTGAGATGTGTGTGTGTGAATGCATGTGTATTATGTATAAAAGTTATGTGTTGTGTTTAAGTTTAATAAGAATGAGTTTTTAAAAAAGAAGTCTCAAAATATTTGAAAATGATCTAAAATGCACAAAAACTCTTGTCATCAAACCCACTGAGGAGAAAAAATATTGAATTCTTTTAAAAAAAAATTATCATAGGCAAAAATAAAATAAGTGATGTGTTAAATCTTTAGCTTCCAGCCACTAGCTAGTTTGTAATCTACCTATAATCCAAACATACAAAAAAGGTGGGACATAAAGAAAATGATGGATACATAGATGGATAGCGGAAAGTAAAACTCTAAGCTGTAATGCCAACCATATACTCCAAAACTAGAAAAGTAACTAAAACAGTTATACCACAAAAGGAAGAATATCCTTTAAATCACAATTACAATGTAATTTGGTTATGGCTTAGTTATTTAATGAAAGAGTTAATTACAAGTGACAAAATACATTTCACTATTTCTTCCACTCTCTGTACAAAGCCCTGAATGTGGGTGAATGAATCTATGAGCTCTAGTTTCTTCCACATGCAATTTGAAAAATGAATTTCCATTTCTTCCCCAATTCCAAAAAATGAATAAATGTGGAAATATTCCCTCACCCCCAAAGATAGCAGGAACTAAATCTTTGCCCATTCCTGATCTGAAGAAGTATGAAATTTGATCTAATGGATAACTACTTTCCAATATGAACATATATTTATGTTGTGCAGATCAACTCAATTGGCAGCGACATATGCAGTGATCAAAATCCTCAAGCATCTGTACATTCTAAATGTTTTAATATATTTTCTCAAGATCAGATGTCTGTGTTATATCACAAATTGCCCCTTTCCTCAACACAGTTATACAGAGGGTTACAAAATGACTGGGGAAATACGGAGTATACTCTGTGGGCCAAAATCAGATTTCCTCTTTTCTCCCTTTGGTAGTTAAATTCCCTTGGAAAAAGAAATAAGTAGAGACAAGCCCAGAGTTGCATCCTAATGTGAATTCAACAAGACAAGGGGATTCTGCTTGAAAGTTAGGGCATGTTTCATCATCTTAATTGATCTGGAAGGAAGAATCAGAAGAGGTTGGGGTTTAATATTTTGGCAAGATCCTCCAGGGCTGCCTTTCTGTTTTTACAAAGGAAAACTGAACTGACAAATCAACTATGGCATCTTTATTTACAGCAAAACCTGCTGCCCTGTTAATTTTGACTTTGGAGGTAGATTTTGTGTGAGTGCTTTGTCATTCTGAGTTGTTTTCAACCCCTCTTCAAACACCTCCTCTACCGCCACTGGTGGAGTTACAAGCATCATATAGAAAATATAACAATAAAGATAATGTTGCTGTGCCCTTCCATTGTTTGCTTGTGTTTAGATCTTGGAAAAAAATATTTATTTCAGTTCCCAAAATTCTCCAGCCAGGTTTTGGGATTTTAGAAGTTTGGTTTTAAAACAAATATAATAGAATCATAGAATTACAGGATTTTAGAGTTGGAAGGAAATCTTAGGGTTTTCAAGCATCCACAGATTGAAAATATTTTAAAAATATATAAATTCTAAAAAGCAAACCTTGATTTTGCCATTTTATATAACAGACGCCATTTTACTATCCCAATAGATACAATGGATTTTGTATCCACAGGGATGGGGGCTGGAACCAAGTCCTGGTGGATACCAAGAGCCCACTGTACAACTAAAACACCCCTGAAAGATGTCAAGATCTCCAAAGGAGAGTCCACTACCCTCCAAGACAGGAGCTGTACAGGGGTGTCATCCCACTGTCCCTTTCCTTGCTGGATTGGGACCAGGGCAACCACACACCACAGCCCTGATTCAGAACTTTGTCACTCTAAAAAGAAAACCTCCAAATGGTTTACAAACCAACCAAGAAAATCCAAAAAATGCTGTGCTCAGCAAAGGACAGGAGAGACCCTCTCACAAGCCACAGGAGTTTACCACATACCATGCAGCTGCGGACAAGTCTACAT